AGAAACAATCAGTGAAATTAAAACGCAGTCTACAGAATGGGAGAAGATATTTGCAAATGACATACTGGATAAAGGGTTAGCCTCCAAAATCTGTAAAGAACTTACAAAACTCAACATCCAAAAAAAATTACTTACCTTTCCTGTTAGATTATTTTCCTGTGGAACATTTATCAAAATTATTGACCAAGGGTGCCTCTGTGTCAGTTTATTAATTCCTAATAAAATTCAGCAATTTCACTTTTTTCTTTGGTTCTTCTGCAATCCTACCTTTGTGTTTTCTTCTTAAGTGTTTTGTTTCTTATGTAAAAGTGGAAAATGAAGATATTACTGGAAAGCATGGAGACAATAAAGATCATCCAAAATGCCATCAAAATGAGTATTTCCAGACATCTGTGTGTGCTTGCCAGATAATTTTATGTAAATGAGATAAACAATGTTATTTTTGATGGAAGGCAGAGTAATCTAGCAGAAAGACTCAGGTGTAAATCCTATCCCAGCTCTGACTTTTATTTTTAAGAATTATTTATTTTAGAGAGAAAAAGAGAGCGCATGCACATGCACAAATGCAAGTGGGGGGAAGGGCAGAGAGAGAGAATCTTCATGCAGATTCCCGGCTGACCACGGAATCTGATGCGGGGCTTGATCCCAGGACCCATGAGATCATGACCTGAGCAGAAACCAAGAGTTGTATGCTCAACCAACTGAGTCACCCAGGTGCCCCTCCAGCTCTGCCTTTACTGATCATGAGACCTTGAGCGTGTACTTATCTTTCCCTCTGTGTATTAAAAGAAGGGCTAATAATACCTATCTCTTGGGGTTTTGAGAGAAATTAAATAAGTACTCAATAAATGTAAGCTTATTTTCCGTTTTTTCTTAATCTTTGACCTTGATATCGGAGGGCTTTCCTAGAGTTCATTACTAAACAACTCTTGTTTATCTCATGGTATTTGACTGCAAGTATCTGGAGCAAAGAGACCATATCTTATTAAATTTTGACGACCAGCACCCAACCTTTAGGGGTTTAATATATGTTTGCTAAATAAATGAGGTCCTCAAAAAAGAGTTTCCTTGTGGACTTCTGTTTGGAATGGCTGACTCTGGGTTCATTTAATTAAATTGCATCTCATATCCTATTTGCCATCTTCATTCTTAAGCTTGCCTATATTTTCTCCTAGTTTCAATTAAAAATGCAGCTAAATTGGGGTGCCTAGGTGGCTCAGTTGGTTAAGCATCTGATTATTTTTTTAAAGAATTTTATTTTATTTTTTAAAGATTTTTTAAAAATTTTATTTGAGAGAGAGAGAGAGAACACAATGGGCAGGGGCAGAGGAAGAGGGAGAAGCAGACTCCCCGCTGAGCAGGGAGCCCAACATGGGGCTCAATCCTGGGACTCCAGAATCATGACCTGAGCCAAAGGCAGACTATTAAACGACTGAGCAACCCCGGTGTCCCTAAGCATTTAATTCTTGATTTTGGCTTGGGTCATGGTCGTGAGATCCAGCCCCAAGTTGAGCTCCACACTCAGCAGGAAGCCTGCTTGAGATTCTTTCTCCCTCTCCCTTTGCACCTCCCCCTGCTCATGCAGGCACTCTCTCCCTAATAAATAAATAAATTAAAAAAAAAATGCAGCTAAGTGATTTTAAGCAAGTCACTTACTGTAGTGTACAGTTTCCTCATTTATAAAAACAGAATAATAGTTTCATACTAGTACTTCCTAAACTTCATAAACATAGTACTTCCTAACTGCAAACTGCTATACAAATTTGTTATTACTACAGAAGTTAGCTCATTGCGCATTTTAATTCATAATTATTATCTTGTGGACACACTTATCAACCTCTTTTTTTCCTACTATACTACCTGTTCTGTACCACCCAGCTTTCCTACATTTAACTTTTTCTAATCCTTTGGTTTATTGTTACTGTGGCTCAGAATCACTGATCTCTGCAAGGGAGCATTTGATGAGCCCTGGAGGAAACCAAACTAGAGATATGTTCACAACAAGTCACACACAGTTCAAGATGTAAGGCTTAGACTTCAAGATAAAGCAAGACAGACCAGCACAGGTGAGGACCGCATTTGAGAGAAGTATGGAGTAGAGGCTAGGAACAGGAGATCTAATTCCTGGCTCTGTTACTTTAGCTATGTGACTTCAGGTAAGTTAGTAAACCTTTCTGGCCCTACATTTCCCCATCAGAAAAGTGGAGGTGGTAACAGTACTTACATTATAGTATTATAAATTTGAGATAATATGTGTGAAGCACTTAAGAACAGTGCCTGGCACATTGTAAACACTCAGTAAATACCAACTATTATAATTATTATAAACTGATCAGTGGTTGACAACAGGTGGGAAGGTAAAGAAAGAGTTGGAAAGTTCAGAGAAACACTGAATATTAATTTCAGCAGTTCTGTATTTTCTCATTAACTTCTCCCTTCTTAAGCCCTTCTAGACTGAAATACTTCTTTTCCTTAAAATTTCCGAGTCAGATTTTTTTTAACAGCATCAGTTCAAAATATTTGAAGGCAGTAACAGTAAGGCTACTAATCAACCTTAAGTCTGACTATTTTTCTACTTTATTGTATATAGAAGAACAGCCATGTTTCCAATCTGTATAACCTAAACATTTGTTATTCACTTTTCCCGCTGGTGTAATTGGAAGTGGGGGTAGGGAGTAAAGAGAAAGGCAGGATTTAAAGCTTTGCTTCACATTTTAGGTGCTAGAGGCAAAGGTCTTTTATAATGCCATGGAAAGACAACATTACCTGACAAAGTTGCCATACACGGAGTTTGCTTTTAACATTCTTTATCCATTTCTGAGACACCCAGAGACCTTATGTTTTCTTTTAATTGCAAAGAACAAGAGTCTCTATTGGCTATAAAACCTATGCTCAGGTTTGACATTACAAACTGCATGCCAGCCATGTCTATTCCTGGTTGTTTTTAGTTTGGCCTGCAGGGTTCTGAATATTGGTTGCCAATACTTAAAAATCCGAAGATTTCACACAAAAATCCAGCTTTAGGGTTTCTCTTTGGGGGGAAAAAACCATGTACCTCAGAACAATGGACCCACATTCTTGTGAACAACAATCTGTTAGTGCTTAACAGCTGCTCCTTTCAGTTACAGCACGGACACTAATTTGTCACATTTCTTATTATTCTCCATTGTTTTACACCAGGCCAGTTTCATTCATTTGCTTTTTTATTTTTCTGCCCGACCGCCCCCCGTAGACATCTGAGTCTGCAAACCCTATCCAGCCTTTTCCTGTCTCCCATCAATGCCTACTTTGTTCCAAATCCCTCACAAGTTTTTCAAAGCAATAGCTAAGTAATCTGATCAACTATGAGTATTTTTACATGTGCTTTCTGGAGATAGTATCTTCATAAAAAGGATGACTCCGCAGGTGGAAATTACAGGCACCACGGGATTACAGTCAGGATGGCAACTGTCCATTCTACTTTTTCTGCTATCCTGGCTTAGCCATACCTCACTGACCTCAGGCAAACCTAAGGAATTGGTTCTCAGTAGAACAATGAACACCGGCCTATGTGCGAAACCTACTTAACTAGTCCTTTTATTTATAGACTGCCCTAGTTCCAAAGGACCGAAAGCTATGGGCTATTCTGACTCCCCGTTTCCTCGGAGGCTTCAGGATATCCGGCCTGACGGCATTTCCCCATACCTGTTTTCGGGGCTCGCTTTGCGCTGGGCAGTCGCGCCCAAGGAGCGCGCGCATCCAGCATGAGCTCATTTCTCAGGGGCGTTTCCAGAAGGCCCGGCCTGGCTGCGCACACCAGGCGCAGTCGGCCTCACTTTATCAATGGCCACCGCTGCTGGGCAGCGCGCGAGCGCCCGCAAGCGCTGCCTCTTTAGAAGCTTTGTTCCTACTTTAGCGTCTGAGAGTTCGCACCCGACTGGATAGGCGCTCTGGACCCGTCTGGCCCTTTCGGGGAAGACGCTGGTTCTTCGGACGCGCTATCCCGGGCGGAGGGAAGGCTCCGGCGCGCAATTTTAGCCGCGCCGGGCCGAGACTCTTGGTGGGTGGGGAGAGCCCCTCTACACTCTCTGTTCGCTTGAGCGCTCCGAGCCCGGCGCCGCTGACCGCAGCAGTTTCGGACCGACTGCGCAGAGTGCCCGCGCTCCCTAGGTGCGGTTTCCACAACGGCTCACAGAAGCCGCAGACAAGCCCATCACACGGTCCGCCACGACCCCACTAGCGAGGCTCTCCGCTCTTGGGACCGCCGCCGGAGGCGGAAGGCCAATCACACCGCATCTAGGTCTTGCGATTGGACGGCACTGAGTGCTGATTGGCGGCCGCTACGGGTTTCGGCCTCCCTCCTTTTCCCTTTTGCCCCCACTCCAGTTCCAAAGCTTCAAGCCAATGAAAAGGCGCTTTATAGACGCCCTCCCTTTTCTTTCTTCTTCTCTCCACCTTGGCGAGGGAGGAGACGTTCTGACTGGCCATCCTGTCCTCGGAAGCCCCCCTCGCTTCACCAATCACTGAGGGAGGTACACTCCCAGCGGAGTTTTCGGCCAATTACAAGGCGGCCGCGGCGCCCAGCCGTGCTGTTTCACCAGTGACTCCGGGTTTCACTGTCCTTAACTCTTCAAGCTTTTTCGTGAGGGCGGGCCACTGTGATTGGTCACTGCTGCCATTGTCGAATTTCTCCTCTGGCCAGCCACGGCATGAGAACCCACCTTCTTCTCGTTCGGCTATCTTCGGCATTTTCCGCTTTTTTGGGCGTGGATTTCTAGGGACACTTTCTAATTGGTTTCTCGGGTCGATCGGCTTTTTCCGGGAGGAGTCGCAAACAATCGACGTCCGTGATTGGCTCTTCTCCGGCTTCGGCTCCGTAGCCGAAGCGGGCGGGCGCGGACCTCGGCCGGCGATTCCCAGACGCCTGTTACGCGGGTGGCGGGGCGCTGGGCGGTGTAAGGCTGGGTGGGGGAGGAAGGAGGCGGAGGACGAGTAGGAGGGGGGAGGGGGAGTGGGGAAGAGCTAGGCGGCTGCGCAGACGGCGCTCCTCACACAGAGCAGCCCCCGACCCGGGCGAATGCAGGCTTGTGCTGCCGCCGCCACCACCGCCGCCGCCGCCCGGGCCGAGTGACAAAGGAAGGAAGGAAGGAAGCGAGGAGGAGCCGGCCCCGCAGCCGCTGACAGGGCTCCGGGCTGGGGGCAAAGCGCGGACACTTCCTGAGCGGGCACCGAGCAGAGGCGAGGGGCGGGAGGGCGGCCGCGCTGGTGCCGCGGACGGGGGAGGGGGCCCCAAGGGACGGAAGCGGTTGCCGGGTTCCCATGTCCCCGGCGTATGGGGAGCAGTCGAGGATCCGCTGCCTGGGGTCTGAAGGGAGCTGCCTCCGCCACAGCCGCCGCCATGGCCGCTGGATCCAGCCGCCGCCTGCAGCTGCTCCTGGCGCAATGAGAAGAGGAGCCGCCGCCACCGCCCGCCTCTGACTGACTCGCGACTCTGTCTCCCTCCAGTTCGCCGGGCCCCCGCCGTCAGCCCGCCGGATCCCGCCGCTGCCGGAGCCGCAGCGTTTCCCGTCGCATCTCCGAGCCACCCCCTCCCTCTCCCTCCCTCCTTCCCATCCCCCCTTCTTTTCAAGCGTGAGACTCGTGATCCTTCCGCCGCTTCCCTTCTTCATTGACTCGGAAAAAAAATCCCCGAGGAAAATATAATATTCAAAGTACTTATTTTCAATCAAGTATTTGCCCCCGTTTCACGTGATATATTTTTTTTAAGACTCCCCCCTCCCTTTTTCCCCTCCAAGGAAAGGGAGGGGAAAGAATTGTATTTTTTTTTCCAGCCCCAAATCATCTACATGTTAAATATCCATACTGATCTGTCTTGAAGGAGAAATACATCGCTCGTTTTTTTTTATAGCTGTACAAAAGGAGTGAAAAGCCAAGAGGACGAAGTCTTTTTTTTTTTTTTTTTTACATCTTCTTGTGGGAGAACTTAATGCTGCATTTATCATTAACCTAACACCCCAACATAAAACGAAAGGAAGAAAAGGAGGAAGGAAGGAAAAGAGGGTGATTCGGGAAGAGAGTGATCATGTCAGGGCGGCCCAGAACCACCTCCTTTGCGGAGAGCTGCAAGCCAGTGCAGCAGCCTTCAGCTTTTGGCAGCATGAAAGTTAGCAGTGAGTATTGATTTTATTTTACACTCCTTCTCCACCTCACCCTTAAGATAAAAAGCCTTTACTAACTAGGGTCTTAAAATATTAAACCTCCTGCTAATAATAATCAGAGGTGGTGGAAAAGGGCAAAAACCTGTCTCAGTCAAGGATGAGGCAGCTCCCTCTTTCCTCCTCCCATACCACCTCCCCCGGTCTCATTAACCTTGAATTGAGAGAATATGCTTTTTGTTTGGATGATTTGATTTGAAACTTGTTTCTTTTCTTACACTTTTTGTGCTGTTGGTAGTCAGTTTTATCAAGTGCTTGAGTATTTCCATGTTAAAATAGTGATGAAAGTATTTACTTGCTCATCCTTTCGAATAAAGAGAAGTACAAGACGATGCAAATCGTTATGTACATTTGCAGAGTATGTGTCTTTTGAAATGAGGGTTATTTTATTTAGCTCAGGTCTCAGGGGTTATCATAGTTTTGTATACTTGGTAGAAAGACTAAATGTCACAGCCTCCTAACATTTGTTTCTTGCCTGTGTGATTACAAAGTATTTGTTCTTAATCCAGAGATGAACTTACTCAGTACCTAGCATTCACGTTTGGAGGGGAGCCTTGAGTTCTCCCTTTAGAAAGAGTCGGTGGGAGCTGGTAGAGCCCAGTAGCAGTAGTATCGCTACAGGCATTGTTTTAATTGGACACATGATTTAATGTTATCTCTTAACCTTCCCGTTTTGATATTACCAATTTACCACTATATAATTTATGTATAATCAAAAGGTAACTTGGAAGTAGGTCCAAGTTTTGATTGAGGTTTGTATTGTCATGTTGCCAGATACTAAGTTGAATGTTAATTGTCACTGACTCATCATTAAGTTCAGTTTTGGGGTGCCATCGCATTCAGCACTTGTTAAATGATCTAGAGTTCAAGGGTCCCTTCTTAGGACTATTTAAAATACTCTTGCATTGGTTTCCTGCCACATTTAGATAAAACTGTGGGTTTAGTTATAACAATATGGATTTAGACCTTTCTGTCATAGGTTTTGCAGAAGGCTGTAGTCCTGAATATAATAGGGATATTTGAGCTTGTGTTGAGGGTTGTTGCTAGACTGTACTTTTGTACGAGATGTGTGCTAAATAGCCTGTGTTTTTGAGGTGTTTGGTATACTAAGTATCTACTCTTCCAAAGTATCTGTATTTGTAGATAGGTTTATGTGGTATTTAGTGACAGCTTCTTTAAACCGTGCTTCCAGAATTTGACAAAACTATCTACATTATTTCCTTATTCCTTGAGAAAGGGGCACAGTGAGGGCAAAGAAAAACTATTTTGTTGCCTAGGAGAAGGAGAGAACTGAAGAACTGAGATTTAAAAAAAATATATACATGCTGTTATGTGAAATTGATTATATCCTTAAGCAACCTAAAATTATTTTTAATTGAGCTCAGGATTTGAATTCATGTTCGCTTTTGGACTTGCCTGAAACAGGGTAGTCTAAGGTAGTAGCTGAATGGCAGATCAGTTTTAAAAGTTCTTTATTATTTATTTTTGTGACTAGTACAGAATGCTGGGTATGTGAAGAGGGGAGCTGATGATGCATTTTTCAGAGAAGAGTCAAGCTTTCTAAGCACTTCATGGGGTCATTTGAAAGGAATATTTTTAAAATTCTGGGGTAATTTTCAGCTATGATGAGGCAAATCTTATAATAGCTACTTAAGAGCCTCTTGTGGTACTGGAGTGTTTATGTTTTTCATCTTGGTAATATAGTTTAAAAAGCACTTGGAATCAATTTTAGGTAATTATTTTATTAGATCAATTTCAGAGAGCAAAATAGAATAACTTATAATGTTAAGTTTTTGGACTTTTCATTTTGTTTCCGATATTTTCTTTGAAAATGACTCCTTAAATCTTGGTAATGTGGTTGTTGACTGAGGATGGAGTAACTCTTGTAAAGTGCATAGGTTAAAGTGTTTAATTTTCTATTCTCATACAGATCAACGTAACATTTAAAAAATTGGAGTTCAATGCAAATTTTGTGTTTTTGACAACTTAGACTTTAAGGACATTTTAGAAGAAAAAGGGTATCATTAAACATTTGTTATAGTGCTACTGTTCTAAGGGACCCCTGTTCAAAAGAGAAATATATAAAGAAATTAAAGTCCTTGGCCTCAAAAGCTTATCATTTAGTCGTAGAGGCTGGTTATGGGACAAACTATGAAAACAGTATCATGATTAATGCAAGATTATAAATACAAATAGAAAGCTTTCTTCAGAGGGATGAAGAATACAGGGGTGAGGCCTCTGGGTTGGAGAGGAAGGACTTCCTGTGTTTTAAGACAGGTGTTAAAGGAGGCAGTCGCTTGAATTGAGAAGCATAAAGGTTTCTAGGTGGAAGGAATGGACAGAAGCACAGAGATGGTGATTTTTGTGTGGCAGTTAGATGATTTTTGTACTTACTAATAAGCAAGTTGGTAAAGCTGAGTTAAAGGGGCCTAAGTAGGATAATAAGAGATAGAGTTTGGGAAGTGTGTTAACCATAGCTGATGGAGGGCAGAGGGGGCCTGTAAAGAGTTTGGTTGTCATTCAGGAGAGATTGGGATTTACTGTAGGTTGGTGAACAAGATATTTGAAGGTGATTTGGGCAGCTGAGTTAATGGATTACAGTAGACATTAGAGTCCTTTCAGGGAGATAGTAGGGTATGTTGTGAACATGAAGAAGTATTAAATAAAATGTGAAAATGTTATGAAAATAGCACATTTGAGAGATAGTGTGAATAACAAACTGGCAGGATTTTGGATTGGATCGAAGGGGAATATTTGGGAAGGAGTCAGGAGTTAAAAATAAATTCTGATGTTGTTGGTCTGGAAGACTTGACCGCTGAGTTTCATTGTCGATTGTACTGGGAAAGTTGAGAAAGTGCTGAGATGAGAAGGTAGATGAGTTCACTTTTTAAAAATTTAATGTACAATAGGTTCCCTTGAAGTTCAGCAGACAGCATTTGGTTACTGGCAATGATATTTAACTTTACAGTCTATTAACTGCACAGTTTCTAATTTTTCTTCACCTAAAATGTTGGATTTATTTTTGGGAGCAGTAAACTAATAGTTTTTATTTAAATGCTTTCCTTTAAAGTTTTAAAAAAGAAATTTTTTATGTAGATTCAAAAGCCTCACCCTTGACCCTAGTTATAGCAGTTCCATGGTAATTTATCGAAAAACAGTGGAAATATTTTTTGGATTAAACTGTGACGTAGAAACTTTAGATATTTTATTTTGTTTTTTTATAAAGATTTTATTTATTTGACAGGGAGAGAGAGCACAAGCAGGGGGAGCTGCAGGGCTGAGGGAGAGGGAGAAGCAGGCTTCTTGGGGAGCAGGGTGCCTGACATGGGGCTCTATCCCAGGACCCTGGGATCATGACCTGAGTCAAAGGCAGACACTTAACCGACTGAGCCACCCAGGCCACCCCAAAACTAGATATTTTAAATAACCTTTAATTTAATCTTTGGTACGTTTAAAACCTGTTTTTCATGAATAATGATTATTCTTAGGTAAACTTAATAATAATAGTAATAATAGCAGTCTTTATTTGGTTTGTGAAGGCTCCAGCAGAAATTAAAAGTTGATTTTATAACAGATATTTTTTGCCTTTTTGGTTGAGTTAAGCATTCATCCTAAGTTGGTTTGTTTGTTTATTTTAAAGATATTTAGAGAGAGGGAGAGCACGAGCAGGAGGGGCAGAGGGACAGGGAGAGAGAAACTCAAGCAGACTCCGTGTTGAGGGCAGAGCCCGAAATGGGGCTCAATCTCAAGACCCTGAGATCAGGACCTGAGCCCAAACCAAGAGTCAGGCGCTTAACAGATGCCTGTATATTTGTATATTTCAGGTATTTTTTTTTTACTTACTATGGTGAAACCAGTGTTTCTTTTTGGTTCACATTCAGATGCAAGTGTTGTTAAGTAAATGTTAGCAGCTTACAGTTCCTCCTGTAGAATTGCATAATATTTTACTCAAAAAAGAGAAGGTAAAGGAGTTTCTATGGTGATTTTGGTTAAAGTATTAGTAATAAATCCTTTTGGTATACTGTTGACAAAAATTTAGCTAATTGGCTAGGTTTAATTTTTAAGTATAAGATTTAGAAAGAGGAAAGTAAATCAGTATCCTTTATTTCCTCATATAAAACTTTTTACATCAATTTTTTTTTAGTGAAGAGAGAATAATTAATAGTAGTTGCAATTATTGTGCAGTATTTAGTTATATTGTATTAAAACCAAAAACTACGTGGCAACTTAGAGTTATTCTGTTCCCAAGGGAGTTTCATTTCCTTGTGACTTCTAAAAATTAGGTAATTAGAATTTAGCCAATTTCTAGATCATCTATGTTTATGTGGATGAGAGCTCGTGTATGCGGCTGAAAGCCTTACTTTCATTAAGTTTTCATTCCTTTCCCGACCAGACCTTTCCAGAGTTGTTAAAACACTAATAGTTTCATATAAGAATTGCATGCTTTCTTGTTGCATGCATCTGTAGAATGCTAATTGTGAAATGATTATAAGGCACAGGTACTAGGACAAACTTTAAGGGAACCCAGAGATTCACAAATCAATTTATGGCTGATTGGGAATGTCGTTGAGAAAATGAGGTGACATTCATTTCACTGGCATAGAGACTGGGGGAGCTCTGTTTTTGTGTGCTCTATAGAGAATGCTGTGAAACAGGCACATGCTGACCTGATGCCACAGTTTCATATTTTTTATTAAGACTCGTGTGATTGTGGGATAGGGATGGGGATGGGCAGACTGTAAGTCTGTGGTGTCTCTTGTGATGCTCCACCCTGCAATGGAGAATGGAGGGACAGCACGTGGGTGTGACTGGAGTATATGCTGGTACTAACAGGACCAACCTGATTTCCCAGATACTGTTCTAAAAACATAATCACCATAAGTAAATGAATTTGTTGGAACATTTAGCATCATTTTCTAGCATATTTTTAGGTTAGGGATGTGGTGGAAAGGGAA